ACTGCCGTATAACAATTGTTATTTGGAAATAAAATTTTTATCAAGTATGAATGTAAAAACTTCTTTGTTTTTGTGCAAAATCGCGTGACTAAAAATCACATAAGCGTGTCCATCTTGACAGTATGTATAAAGAATGTGCACATACTAATGTGTAAATACAAAATGTCATGTAAAGATATCTACAGTAATTATATACACCGTTTACAACAGAAGTTCTAACTTCTGTAATACGACGTCAGAAAGCGACCTTTTTTTTTCTTTGGGCCACGTTTCACCTATTACGTAGGGTCTGAGTATACAGTTCAAAAGTGTTATATTTACTGGTAGAAGAAATACGTGGAATATCATGAAAAAAATTTGGCAAAGAGAAAACAAAGTGATGGCAACATCAGCGAGAGTTTTTTATATTGGGTTGTTTGTGTTATTAAGTAGCTTCACTGTGATGTTTGTCAGAGACCAATCAAAATTGACAAGAATAAGTACTACACCTTGGCAGAGGTGGTGGTAAGGAGTGACAAGTGACATTATATGATGCCGACAGTTGAAGTTCATGTAAACAAACCTTATAACAGCGACAAACTAATTATACATTCAATTGTGTTGTGTTGTGGCAGAGGAGGTGGTAAGGAGTGACAAGTGACATTATATGATGCCGACAGTTGAAATTCATGTAAACAAACCTTATAACAGCGACAAACTAATTATGCATTCAATTTTTTCCATAAGACCTTATTCTTTTAGTGCTGTACAGGAGACTGTATAATAGCTATAAAAACGTCTTTAAATAATGGTTATAATAAACTATTTTCCCAATTGTCGATTTCCTGTTATTCAACCATTTGTTCTCTGTATGGTGTAATACCGGTTCCTGTCCTTCTTTCTGGTTTAGCCCCCGATTGCTGTACCCCACTTTATTCTTGTTAGTGGTTATTTACAACAAATCATTTGATTGTTAATTATTAATGGTCAAGATACTCAATGGGCTATCTCTGCTGTGATAAACGCGGGTATCTAAATTCGATTTTTAGCGTGATAACTACTGAGACTTACTGCTGAGCTCCTGGGAGATGCAACAAAGAACTTTTATGGATTATGACAAAACCTTGTTGAAACGTTGTACATTTGCTGTTGTGTTAAACTTATATTAAAGTTTTTCT